AACTATACAAATAAATGAAAAGTCATCTTCCAGACCATCCACAGAATATGTGGCCAGTAAACAATTAACACACTGCAGTGCTGTTGGAAGAATCCCCAAGCTGTAATTTGAAGGAAAGAACTCCTCACATAAGAATCTGCAGTGGGGGCAGCTGACATATTCAGAAGGCAGTATTCCTTATCTTCTTGCACATAAGGTTGAGATATGCATCTCTGATGACAATAATCCTCATCGATTTGCCAAATGTGGTATGTCCTTCAAGATAAAAGAAATCTCTGATGGATTGAGCCCTGAATTATGTGCTGAACTCTCACTGCATAAGTCTGCCTTCTGAAGCAAATCACCACCTTAGTTTTTAGACAGATTTTCTCAATGAATCTGGATTCACAGATTTGGGGAATTCACAGATTAGTTGGCAGAATAAATTTGTAGATTCCCTGGGATTTTCAGAGTCATATTGTCTGCAAACAAAGACAAGTTTGCTTCTCCTTTCTGATTCACCTGCATTTAGGATCCAGTTTCAGGTTGAATGTGAATAGTGACAATGGAAGCCTACGATTTTTCGTATGTCAAAGGGGCAAGCATTTAATGTCTCATTAACTATGATGCTGGTGAAGGCTTTTTGTAGCTCCTCTTTATTGCCTTGAACAAGTTGATATCTTGCCTGTTGTGGTGGTGCATACCTACAATCTCAATTCCTGGGACGTGGAGAATGAAGAATTGGTGCAAATTTATGGGTAGCCTGGGCAGAATAAAAAGACCATATATCAAAACAAAAATTCCAACCACAAGCAGCAACCATCTCCAAACCCAAAAGCCCAAATTAAATGAAACAAGAGAGGAGACTTGCACTGCTCTGGGGACTATTTTATTGTTCATGGGTACCCTGTCAGGATTTTTATGTAGTTGTTTGCAGAACCCAGCTTTTTGTTTTGTCTTCTTTAACTTTCAAAGTAGTGAATTATATGTTTTTGCTTCATACATTTTCCTTAGGATAAACCAAACCTACTGTAAGTACATTATTGCGATGCATTCCTGGGTTATCTGGATGACATTTTGTCATGGAGTTTTGCATCTAATTTCATGAAGGATGTTGGTTTTTGGTTTCTCTGATTTGTACTGTTTTTTAGCTGATTTTGGTATCAAGACAATGCTGTTCTCATAGAATGAATTAGGAAATTCTTCCTCTTGCATTATCTGAAAGAAACTCTGTAAAATTTATATTATTTCTTCTTTTCATGTGAAGTAATAAAAAGCCTCCTGGATCCAGAGAAGTGGCTGCAGATGGCCATTAGACTGTACAGCAGTGACAACTAGTGTTGAAAAGTTAAACTTGACAAAGCTGACTCACCAGGAACTATTGTGGACCATGACTTGACAAAGCCAGTGCTTTGATGACTAAATGGTTATTCCTGTAACTTTCCCAGGTACTACTGCTATGCCTCCCTAATAAGAACAGTTCTTTCCACAGCCCTTTGGTGGTACGTTTCATACTTGCTCAGCACACATATAGCTGTGAATGGTCAGGAAGATGATGCTCAGGCTGTTTAATTTTGATGAACAGAAATACTACTAGAATATTTTATATTACTCAGAGTGACATAGGATTTTCAATCACAAACAGGCTTTTACACAGACAAGCTAACTCAGAGTTCATGCCAAATTCAAAGCAGGCTGGTTACCCCTGGAGAAAATATCTGGTTGTCCCTGGAGACAAATACACAAGGTCATTTCCTCAGGTGTTGCTTTGCTGATTCAAGGCCAGAGTTAAAACCACTTTGGTCTACATATACTCCCCAACCTCAAGGTTCAGCCAATTGTTTACATATTGCCTGGGAACCCTCACCAACTTACAGATACATGCAAGGCCACTTGCTCACTGCCTAGTCATTGTGACATTCCTAGCCTGAGAGAAATATGGATCTGATCTTGGGGCTTGAGAAGGGGTTGGGCCCTTAAAATGTAACTTGCCTAGTATTTTGTTGCAGCAACCCAAGAATAACAAATATAGTGAGCTGAGTGCTTTATGCTTTCTTTGAGAAAGTAGTTGACTTATCTGAATTATTAAAGTTATTTACATGGAGTTGTCAGAATGCTTATTTTAAAAAGGTTCTTTGCTAATGACAAATGGTTTTCATAATTTTCATTGCATATATTCATTATACATGGTGCTGTATTATATAACCATACCTTGTTTGTTTATCATATGACTCTATAGGCAGTCAGGAGGTATGTATCAAAGAAAACATACATTTGTCTTTCTGAGACTGATTTAATTTGCTTAATATGATTATATTTTCTCACATTCACTTCCAGAAAACACCATGACCCTGTCCTCAATTGCTTTCCATATTATTTTTAAAACAGGGTCTCTCAGTGAACCCAGAACTCATCTGTAGACTGTGCTGACTCACTAGTAGACCACAGTGATCCTGTCTACACTTGCCCCAACTTACATTTTTGTACCACCATCTCTGGTTTGCCATACGGGTAATGAGATCTGAATTTGCTTCCTCATGTTTGCCAACAAGTATTTTACCCACTGAACCACACCCCAAAAGTTCTCAATCCCTTTAAAATCTCTCAACCACTTACTTTGCAATTCAGTCAGTTGCCATATGTTTTAGATGTACTTGCTAGTACTAAGAGCTGCTCAAAAATATGGGAACATAATTCTTTATTCTTCTTGGTTAAAAATCAACAGGATTTCAAATACAGCTGCTAATCGGAACAGAGTAGTGTAAGTTTATGGTTACAGATGAATCATTAAAATACCTATGATATCTGTAGACTACCCATCATCATTTAAAGTCCATCTTTAAAGTTACTTTTCTACATTATGCTTAGTACATCACATTAGTATGTAATCAGTGTCAACAGTTAAAATTTAGAAATGTCCCATTACAGTTTCAATCTACATAACTGAAACATTCCCTTCTTCAGTACATGGACTTGTGATTCTTGCTGTACAAGTACATGGACAGCTTCTTGTCGTGCTAACAGCCTCTTCCCTTTTTTGGTAGAGATTATATATGGGTACTCTAGATCTCCATGCAGGTGTCTTGATTTATAATGGAGTGTGTTGATAGGGTGATCCACCACCAGTGTTCACACACCAGTGTTCAGCTATTGCTGAAAGGTTGGGCATTTTTGGTATAATGGATAACTTTACATTGTAGGAAATGAGGCCGAATATTTCTGACCCATCACGCGTCATTGACAACTTGGTTCCTAGTTATGTGCCAATTTTTAAGAATGTGACAAATGTCCATTTGTATGGTTGAGATCATCTGAAAAAGGGACTTTCTCCTGAGTAGGGCTCTTGGTACCTCTCCTGTGGTAAAGATGTCAATGGAATCCTTGATGCACAATCTTATATGAGCATAAATATGATATCGGAGATTGCACTCAATATTTTTGCACACTATTTTCAACAAGAGTCACTCTTGAACCCAATTCTATACCCTATTCAGCTCTCCTTCAAATGGCAGGAAGGCACCACACTTTAAGGCTTTAGCTTATGGCACAGGACTTTCCTTCAGATGTCTTATCTCTTCTTGAAGTTTTATTTTGTCCTCCTGTATTGTTCATATATCTAAACAGTGACAAGTGCAGACAATGAATCATTACACTGGTTGATCCTGATGTTCAATGCAGTTTCCCTAATAATTTTTATTATTAATTTCTTAAAATTTACTCAAACCTTAATTTTTATTATAATTTTAACCTGTTTTATTTGTGAGTAAATTTTAATGTTCAGAGGGTTGCTGTTACTTTTCCTTTTTTGGATTTGTTTAGCCTCCTCCCCAAATGTATGCCTTTTCTTAGGCAGCTGTGGTCATTTTTCTTTGGGGTTAATTTATCTAAAAAAACAGGTCCATTAATGAACCTAAGTTACATGTGTTGAATTTTTTCATCAATTGACTACAAGTTCTGTAGGAAATCATTTCTTTCGTCTTCAGTTTTATCACCATATACTTTAATTCATCCTCCTACCCGCCCCTTATGTAGACATGTGACACAGGAATGAATTCTGAGTATCTCACTAAGGCTTTGAATCTTAGAATAAGAAATTTAGTCGGGGGTAGAAGTGGGGGCATGGCTGAGTCAGAAATATCTCTTCTAGAGTCCCAGGTGCCCATGTAACAGCCAGATACAGCACTGTTCTGTAATACCAGACCTGAAAGGCAGATACAGGCAAATCCTTGAAACTTAGCACTCAGTGGCCAGCAAGAGTAGCCGCATCTGTGAGCTTGAAATTCAGTAAGAGAACCTGTCTCAAAAATTAAAGTGAGGGTGAGAGAAGAAATTCGAAGTAGATCTCAGGCCTTCACATCCATGTGCAGAGATGGGTACACACTAACATGCACACGCATGTGTACACTCAGAAAGAGAGGGAGAGAGAGAGAGAGAGACAGAGAGCGAGAGAGAGAGAAGGAGAGAGAAGAGATGAGGGTTGGGAAGGAGAAATTTAGTGTAGGCTTCCATAACTTGGTAGCAGGGTGACAGATGAAGGTAAGAATATGAGAGTCCCAGACTGAAGATAATGATTTCCTCATCTAACTCCCAAATGAACACAAATTGAGAGCAGAATTGGAAAGAAGAGGCACAGACAGACTGGCACATACTTGTGAGGGTTAAATAGTTCCTTTCCTCATAAACAATCTCTTAAGAATAAACTCTCACCATGTGAGATAGAAAAACTACCTTTGTGAATTCCACTATGGGAAAAACAGCTTAATTAATCTTGTGTATATGTCTTATAACTAGTGATTTTTATTTGAAACAGGAGCTATATTCTGGTGGATTATCAATTCCCTATGTAACTAAAAATGACATTGTACATTTGAACCTCCTGACTCCATTTCCCAAAGTACTAAGATTGTATATTCTTTTAATCTTAAGTGAACCTGTGTTTCTTTTTTCTATGAAATAGGAATAGAGTTCTTGATTCACAGAGTCTTAAGAAAGAAATAAAGATATAACACAAAGAGCATAGCTGACATAATATAACTCTGTATATATTGTAATGGACTTAGTATGACACCCATTGCATGTTCCTAACTTAATCAGGAGACATGGGCATCAGAGTATCAAGCAGGTATTTAAGAATAAACAGAACAAGGGAGCAGGCCTGGTCAGTCTTTAGGCTTCACTACATTTCACCATGAAGAGAAATGGAGAGAGCAGAGACTGGATAGATGGCTCGGCAATAAAGAGTGTGTAACAGACTAGAATTCAGTCCCAAGCATCCAACTCAGGTAGCTTAGCTCCCCCTTTGTGTCTTTACACATACTACATGAACATATGCGAATATGAACACACACACACATTTTAAAATATTTTTAAATGAAGAGAACATCTTCAGTAATTTAAATATCTCACACTTCCTCATAGACTTTCTGTGTCTTCTGAAAAAATCTCAATCAGGTGTTTCAGGTGCTCCCTGTAACTCTTCACTTTCTGTTGCAGCAACTGTGTGTTCTTCTGTTGTATTTCCCTCATCTGGCAGAGTGCCTCCTCCATCTTCTCAGTCAACCGTTTCATGTGCTCCTCGTGACTCTTGTCTTTCTGTTGCAGCAACTGTGCATTTTTCTGTTGCATTTCCCTCATCTGGTCCTGTGCCTTCTCCATCATCTTGGTCAACTGTTTCCTGTGTTCCTCGTGACTCTTCTCTTTCTGCTGCAGCAACTGTTCATTCTTCTGTTGCATTTCTCTCAACTGGACCTGTGCCTTCTCCATCTTCTCAGCCAACTGTTTCATGTGCTCCTTGTGACACTTCTCTTTCTCTTGCAACATCTGTTCATTCTTTTGTTGCATTTCTCTCATCTGGTCCTGTCCCTTCTCCATCATCTCAGTCAACTGTTTCATGTGCTCCTCATGGCTCTTCTCTTTCTGTTTCAGCAACTGTTCAATCTGTTGTTGCATTTCCTGCTGCATTTTTGCTATAGTCTTTGCAGCTTCAGCTTTAACATATTCCACTGGAAAGACAATCAAGGGGGAAGGAGTAAGTACAGCTTATGTACAGTGATGCTTTCTTCCTCACCTGCTTCATTGTTACTGCTGACATCATTGTACTATCCATGTCTGATACTAGCCAGTGAGATACACCTTTGTTCTTTTAGATCTGCTTTAGGGTCCCAGGATTACAAGTAATAAACATTCCACAGCTTTCAAAGGCATGTAGTTACTTAACTTGTGCCTCAACTTCACTATCCTTTTCCTTTTCTGTCAGTTCCTGGTCTGTCTGTAGAACTGTATCAGTCACATCATCCTTGGACTGCAAAAATTTCTGGAGAACTTCTTCAGCCTGAAAGTAAAGAGAAAATGAATTTGATAGCAGGAATGACTAAAACTTCTGTGGCTATCTCCCTACTCCCCTTTCCTCTAGTGATGTCACTTGATACTAAAATACCTGACACAGGCTGGGCATTGGTGCCTTTAATCCCAGCTCTCAGGAGGCAGAGGCAGGTGGATCTCTGTGGGTTCGAGGCCAGCCTGGTCTACTGAGCAAGTTCCAGGACAGGCTCCAAACAATATTAGAAACCCTGTCAAAGATTCCTGACACAGAACAGGTAAAAGGAACTCATTGGAACCCCCTCAGGAATTCTTTTATTGCAGGCCTGTTTTGAACAAAAACTATGGCCCTTCTAGACTATGGGCTCTAACTTTGGAATTAATGGTTCTGTGGTGATAGGTAGGGTGAGTTTGCTGTAGCTTTTGTACTGAACAAAAAGATCTGAGGGAATGACAAGAACTCCATTTGGTCCCATGTCATTCTTCTCTAAGCTGTTCCCCACAATTTCCTGAGGCTGAACTTGCTTCCATGTCATTCTTCTCTAAGCTGTTCCCCACAATTTCCTGAGGCTGAACTACAACCCTAAATACCCTTGACAGATGTCTAAGATAAGGCTACTCCACAAACATTCCACCCCCTTCTGATTGGTTGGCCCCAGCACTGGCCACAAGAACAAACCACAGGACTCCCTTGTTGGCAAGAGTGTGCCACCATGGAAAGTCCACAACTGTTTCTTCCCATAATACACTTGATTGGATGAAAACTGGTTTTCTTCCTTAAAACTGACTGCTTGTCCCTGCATTGAGGACATAATATGAGCCCCCAAACCTGCACCCTCCCAGATATATCAGGTTTTTAAATAAATTTTCTGTCTTTTCAAACCCTGTCTTTGTGGTGGATAATTTTTGGAATCTCAGACCCTAACATGAGGGGCCTTAGACACGATCTGATGATCCACTGGTTTGAGTCTCTGGCTAGGTTGAATGCTCCTGACCTGTGTGGCAATCACCAGAGGTAAGCACTAGAGGTTTTGTGGTCTGTGGCATCTTTTTCTGGGACCCAAGAGTCATCTTTTTCTCTCCCAAGAGAGGAGAAATGGAATGAAATACTATTCCTGGGATCAGAAGGAGATGAGCGACATCTCATCCCCTCCTTGGGCCTCTGGGCATTGGGAGTGTCTGAGGCTTCTGGTCTCTGGGACCCAGATGAAGAGGTGGCAGGTCCACTTGCTCTTCTGACACCCTGACTCCCTGGACTCCACCTGTGTCACTGTGGTTTCTCCATCTCTGTCACGTTGGACTCTTGGTTTTCCTTTGTATACTCACTATTTGTCTCCTCTCTTACTTTTAGATCATGTGGCAAACTCCATCTGTGTGACCCCTGATTCCACCCTAGACCATATCTTATAGCATTTTAAAGACTTCAAGATGAAGGCCCAGGAACAAGGAGATTCTGTTTTCCCTGGAAAGCTACACAGGCTCTGACAGCTCAAGGGGCTGACTTTTAGAGTCAAATGACCTCCAAAGGGCACCTTTAACCTCTCTATTACTCTTACAGTCCACACAAGAATTTCTGGCAGCCCAGGGCACCCTGACCAAATGCCTTATATTGTGTCAGTGTGTTCTACTTGGAAGGCCTCCCAAAATAGCTCCAATCCTGCCTGTGAGACTAATTGGCAGGAATTTCTACTGTCTACCCCGTTAAATGTCAGGTTACTATCTTACCGCTCTATGAGGAAGACTCCCTCCCTCTTCCTTATTAGTGGAATCAAGAAACAGGGAATTCAGATTCTAGGATGCCTTAACAGCCTGCGTCTGAATGCCTGGGACCGAATTCCTGCCCTTCAGGTAGGCCCTTCCCACATAGGGGATCAAACAAGGGGAGACCAGAACCAAGAACCTTCTTGGGTCTATCCTCCCTTCAGTAGTAGTGACATTTATAACTGGAAAGCCAGACTCTCACATTCTCTGAGAAGCCCCAAGGTTTCCCTGTGGGAAACCATTTTGCATACTCACCTGGCACACCTGGGATGACTGTTCAGCTGTTCCTGCTAATGCTCTTTACTTATTGAAAAGGGGAGAGAATATCAAGGGGTCTAGGAACCTGGACCTGGAGATCATGGCAGCCAACCACTATACCTGCTGTCATTCCAGCAGCCTTCCCTTCTCTTTGGCCCAACTGGGACCCCAATTTGGGTAGAGGCAAAGAATCTCTGAGGGTCTTTCTCCAGACTTTAATGGGTGGTCTCTGGGTGGCTGCAAAGCAACCCACAAATTTGTCTAAAGTCATTCAGGTGGTCCAGGAAACAAAGGAGTCCCCAACTGCTTTTCTGAAATAATTGATAGAAGTGTATCTTACCTTTTCCCCTATAGACCCAGAAGCAGAAGAAATTAGGAGAGCTATCAACATAGCTTTTGTGACTCAATTTGCATCTGATATTAAGAAAAAGCTTCAGAAGTTGGAGGGGTTTGAGGGAGAAAAATGCCTCAAAGGTGGTAGAAATAGTCACCAGAGTTTACAACAATCCCAAGGACCAGGAGGACAGGACAGCTAGGAAGTCTGCAAAGTAGTGTTGGCTGTATTAAATGAGACCCCAGGGGAAAGACCTGGCAAGCTGGGGGAGGGGTGCAAGGAAGCAGGCCCCCACAAGATTGGACCCCACTGGGGACAGACCCTGCTACAAAGAAATCAGTGTACTATTTGTAAGGAATTTGGACATCAGCACAGGGAGTGTCACAATTGGTCAGAGAAGAAAAAAAAAATCTCCAATATACTCCACTACCTTGAAGAAATCTGAGAAGGTCAGGGCTTGTTCTCCCGTCTGGAGCCCAGAGTAACTTGCAACATAGAGGGAACATGTGTAGAAGTCCTAATAGACACAACCAGGGCATCACTAACCCTGTGGAACAAATTTTCATCCAAAGGTCCATGGGTACCAAGACGTCCCATGAGCCACTGTAAGAAAGGTCAATCTACAGAGAGGCACAGTGACTCATTCCTTCACAGTGACCCCAAATGCCCTTATTGCCTCCTGGGGTGAAATTTGCTGCAAAATCTGATCTTCAAAGATGATGCTATAAATATAAAAGTCCCTCAAAAGAAGGCTCTAAACTCTGTAATTATTGTGGCTCTTCCCCTGGGGGAAGAATACCTCTTTAATCACTAGGGGAAGGGAGCCCTGGAATGTCAAATGAACCCCCCCTATGGAAGGAGCTCCTATTAAAGTCCCCACTAATATGGTGAGATAATAACCCACCTGCATTAGCACAGCACCTACTCCCTATCATAGTCCAACTGAAACCATAGACCTGCACCATAGATAAGTTGTTGACTCTGCTATGGCAGGTATATAAGTTGCCACTCCCCACACAAAACCTCACAGATACAAGCCAGGAGACCTCAACTAGGTCAGAAATCACCAGAAGGAGTGTTTGCAGCCTCTCTGGAAGGGACCCCCATTCAGTAATATTGACCACCATCTCAGCAGTGAAACTAGATGAAATTGAATCCTGTGTACATCACTCCCACTTAAAGTCAGTTCCAGACAGTGATCCAACAAGGACAAAAACAAACATGGACTTTGTGACCCCACCCACAGGACCCACTAGAGCTAAGATTCATTTCTACCTGACTTTCCTATTCTCCCTAATGGGACTGATAAAAGCCAACAACCCATATATGTCAGTCCTGATGTCATGGTTCCCTATCCCACACTAGGGAATAGACAATGATTGCAAATGTTACCACATATGGGTCCCCCATGTTCCATGTAGATATCTGCAGACTGCTGGGTTTGAAGCCCCTGCCCCAGGATCAGGGGTCCCACAGATGTAGTTAGGGGTATCGAGACTTTGGCTGTGGGCATCCTGTTCTGTAGACTGACCAGGCAACAAATTCATTCTATGCTTGCCCAGTGGGAAAACTAAATTATGGGGTTCTAGAGGATTATTACTATTTGTCCTGGAGATGTGAGACATATGGGACATGGGTGAAGAAGAATGGAAGGGACAAAGACCTTATGAGAAGAGAGGGACACCAAACTGGCCGGTAGGTGGAAAAGATAAGCCTGGTCCTAATAACTATTTTTGTTGGTTTGTCCACTGCGTGGGCTTTGAGAAAGACTTGGGGACTCAGGATGTGCAACCAGGTCCTCCTAGATCCTGGAATACTTTCAGCATTCAGAAGTTTCCCCCATAGGAGGAATGGATCCTAGAACCTATTGCAGCTAACTGAATACTGAACCCTGTTGAAAATGGGGTAGAGGTTTTAGGCCCTACCACCATACCTACTCAGATTCAACAACGAGAAAGGAAAGTAACCTGAACTCTAATCCCTACCCAGCCCAACAAAGAGAGCTCTGCAGCCCTTCTCTCAGAATAGTATGTATTCAACCTTTTAAACTCCTCCTCTCCAAATCTCACATAGAATCTATTGGGATATTGGGATAGGATACAAAGAAGAAATTGGTGTCAAGAAATATCATATCAGAAACCTGACACCTCACTGATTTATCTGCTTTTAAAATAAATTTTGGCCTTCTCAAACCCTGTATTTGTGGTGAATTATTCTCAGATTCTCATACACTCTCAGTATAATCCTGGGTAAAAGTAACAGATAAGGAGACATGGGATGATATTACCATACCCAGTTGTCTTTAAAAGCTAACTCCAAGCCCAAACTGATGAATTATGAGATTGTTTAAGGTGCTATCATTGGGTCCTTTGCAACACAAAAAATCTAGTTAAAACACAGGGTGACAGTCGTTCTGGTGGTTAATGTTGTTCGCTGAGAATTTGATCGTTAAGGGAGTGCACTATCTCTAAGTAAGCAGTGCATATCTAGTGTGATAACCTTCACAAATGTCATGTTGAAGAAGCATATGCCTGGAATGCAAACACTAAGACACTCTCATAGTGATGCTTGGGGGGTCACTCTGCTGTCTGAAGGAAGTCCGCAGCTTCAAGAACATGCGTAACATTGGTTACCTGAACTCCCTTCCTGGGTTCCTCATAATACTTTTTCTTCAGCTCCTGTATCTTTTGGATAAAAAGTTGGTATCCCCCTGGCTTATAATAAGACCCTTGCTTCAAATCTTCTTCTAGTGGACTGAAAATATCCTGAAGCAGAGCTGAGCAGCGATCTGAAGATGCCTGTTCATTCTTCTTAAGGAATTCCTCTTGCTTTGTTTCTAACTCGATCTTTGAGGTAAAAATGAAAAGAAAATAATTAAGAAGGGAAAGATGCCTGAGTTTAGAATTTATGATGCATTTCTCACAACAAAAACAAACATAAAATAACAAAGGACAACTTAGAAGCACTGACTGCATCCTTCCTCTGATGCCAGCTATTTACTGACGTCATCCATGCTCCTTCTCAGTGGAGTTCAGAACAGAGTTTGTACCTTTAGAGATAAAGTGATTTCAGGCTGAACTAGAAACGTCACATGAAATAAGCATGGCTCAATGTTGATTTCTTTCTGATGACTCAAGCTTAAGTAGCTTTGGTATTGGATTGAACATTGAATCAGTTTACTGACACTGGGCATGCAACTTGAACAGAAACACAAATTACTTGTGTGTACTTTATTCAATGAAGGGGGAATGTTACTAACTTATTTCAAAAGGAGAAATATTTTAAAGCATTGAGTCTCTGTTGATCCGTTTTTTTTCCTGTTTAGTATGATTAAGAAGTCGTTATTGCTACTTAAAAATCTAGTAATATACGCCTGCCTCAATCACTGTCTTCATTTACTAACAGCACATTGTCTACTAAAACCTACATCTAGGTAAATTTGAAAGAAAAATTACCTCTAATTGTGTCATAAACACTTGATTAACATCTTTGAAGGAATTTTCCATGAAGATCTTGATGGCTTCTTTCTCACTGGCCCTGTGCAGTTTCATCAGCTCCTGGAGGTTCTCTGTGGGCAGCTGCAACTTCTGCTTCATCTGCTGGTCATAGTGGGCAATGGCCTTTTGGACTGCAGCTGCATTCTCTGTCTGGGACAAAGCCAGGACGGCATTCTCTATGCAGGGCAGACCCCCACTGCTGATGGTGTTCACATAGGTTACCACCAAACTCTTTAGTCCTACAAACAGATGACAATGTTTATTACAGATGGATGATGACAACATTGTTCTGTTTAATTCTGGATATGTCCATCACTGATTATTTAAAGCAGCAGTGTCCTTAGAATCATTTGGAAGAATGACAGACAGAAGCATCTCAGCCTCTACCTCACATTGATGGGATTAGACCTTACTCTGTGTAAAGATCCTTTCATGAGATGCAAGACACCAAAGGCTAATAATGCAGCATGGAGATTACATGGCTGTGTGTCTATCTCATGTTTGTATCTGTTTCATGGGAGCACCATGAAAACAGGATCCTTACCTATGTCACGTTTCTCTGTGTTAGCAGTCCTGTCCATAGTAAGCATTTCATTTAAATATAGTAATAAAACATGTACTCCTGGTCAGAAATTCTCCATCAGGTTGATTAGAATAAATTGCTTTACCCAAGAGAACCTTATGTATGTGCTGATATGTCAGTGACTAGCTGTCTGTGGATTTTATTGTAATGATATCTAAATTTTAAGAGCCAAACTTGTTTAGTTGCTGTCTGGTGAATGAAGTTTTCTAGAGTAATTTAATTTTTTTCTTTTACCCCCTTTTCCTTCTTCCCAACAAGAAAATCTGATATACAAAGCTATTATAAATGCTGGTACCATCTACAGCTTAACACTACAGTGGTGATGTGTTTTTGTTTCTTCAAAGCAAAAGTTGGTCAAGGCTGTCTCAAGGTAGTGTGGCCTAAATGGTGAGCAAAAATACTAGGAAGGGACTCACGTGGTCCATTGACCTTGATGCCTCCTGAAAGCATTTTAACCTTGGAACAGTGAAACACGTAGGAACAGAATTCTGCCACTTGTTCCATGAAGTCAAAGTCCAGGTCTTGATCCTGCATCAATTCAAGCTGGCCAAGCTTCTTCCCATGCACTGGACGCTCAAAGACAAAGCATTTCTTCTTTGGGAAGAACTTATGGATACAGAGCTGAGGCAGATTAAATTCCTTTACCCTGTCTCTTTGCCCAGAACCTAAATAGTGCAAAAACAGGATTTTCAGCCAGGACATGGAAGGTGAGTATACACTTTTAATTTTTGTCACATGAGTTTTGTAATCCCAGTGAGGTTTATAAATTGAGGCCAGCCTAGGTCAGACAGTGAGACCCTGAAAACACAAAGCAAAAAAACAGAAAAGAGTGTTGATGTTTGTTTTAAGGATTTTCAGTCTAACAAAAGGCTGAATACTCTTTTTAGGCTTCTTAGAAAAAGAAAGAATATTTAGACATAGGGTAAAGGATTACCAGCCTACAATCCACACTGCCAGAGAAACTAGTAAACAAGGAGGACCCAAAAAGAGACAAACTTTGTCCCTGGAGAATGGGAAAGGGTCACGATCCCCTGAGCAAATTGAGAGCATGAGAAGAGGGGGTAAGGAGCTATGAGAATGAGAAGGGAAGAAGAGGAAGGATGCAGGGGTCATGAGGGAGCAAAAAGGTTGAGTCAGGGGAAGAATAGAAGAAAGGACATGCAATAGGTAGGGTTTTAGTTGGGGGGGATGGTAGGGGAGGAAAGGAGGGAGAAGGGAACTGGGATTGTCATGTAATTCAATCTTGTTTGTAATTCAAATAAAAAACAAACAAAAAGAAAGACAAGCTGGACAAACAGAAAAAAAAGAAAAAGAAAGAATACTGCATTCTAAGTATTCAACCCACTTAATATAGCTGGACTATGTTTGGAAACAATATGTAAACTAAAGAGACATCAAAATTTGATTTCCAAAGAAAACTAGAAGATGGGGGGGGTCTCATTGTGCCTACATTTGGGGTAGAATACTGGTAACAATTTACCAATTTCAAATATGTCTTCATGTGTACTATAATCCTTAGTTCAATACAAAACAAGTCTTAAGAAGACAGATGAAATAAATGACTATACAGAGAAAAGTAAAATACAAATAAATTTGTTCTCAGTACAAAAGAGAAAATGTTTGAGTCAATCTATTAAATAATGTATTAAGCATTAATTCTTAGGAGTAGCTAGTTAGAAGAAATAGAAACATAAAAATTATACATAGAAAAATCTGAATTATCAGAGGTTTAATTGACATTCTCATTTAGCTGTTGTAGGTCTCTTACCCTGAATAAGCTTCAGGGAATTCTCTAGGTATTCATCTGCAGAGATTGGTTTTCCATTTAATTTCAGCTCTAGAGAGAAGTCCCTCAGAGTCCAGATGAAATCCGGGAAGAATCTTACAAACTCCTCTGAGTCCTCTACATCATCCTGGTCAGGTGAGGACTTTGATCTGATTCTGCCTGTCAGTTCTGTCACATAGCTAAGCAGCAAATTAAGGAAATCCTCAGAAACAACCATAGAACCAACCAAAGTTTCAGGGTCCCCATCCCACATAACTCTACATCTTCCTGGAACCTACCCCCCAACCTTCATTTGTCTTGTTCTTAACATCAGTGTGAACACTATAGGTGCATATATGTGAGGGTTTTGTTTGTTTGTTTGTTTGTTTGTTTCATTAAGCAAGAGAGAGTGTTATGTTGCTGGTTCATGAGGTTATGTCACCACACTCTGTCTGGTGCTGCTTTGATCCTCAAAGGGGATACTTTAGGTGGTCCATGGCCTGCTGGTTGATGGGTCCCATGCTGTTGTACACAAAGGTGCTGCTTAGAAGTATAGCCAGGGCAAAGATCCAGCAGTCATTCTGATTGTCACCCTGGAAGTCAGAATACACGTGGGTCAGGAGTTTGTCTTGTCTTTACGTCACTTTCAGATCAGCAGTGGTAAAATATACTCAATTAGAAGGGACTTTTGGCTACAAATGAAAGGAAAAAAACCTACCTTTCTAGGGGGAAATGTTGGCCATGCCCACTTGAGGGCTGGCCCAGGTAAAGCAGTCCACGCCATCTTGGGTGCTGGCACAAGTGATGCTGACCACGCACACTTGGGCATGGTCAGAGTGACATAGCAAGACCTTAAATATGTGGGTCACACGCATGTGGTTCTCTGTTCCCTGAACTAACTGGTTATACAAGACTGACTCTGTTGAGTGACTGCTTTGCTAATAAACATCCTCCCATCAAACTTGCTCTGACTCCATTGTGATATGCATTAATTGCATTTCACTTTACCTGGTGTCAGAAATGGGATACAAGCCCACACCTCCATACAGAGACCAGAATAGGTTTGTCTTATTGGTTGATAAATAAAGTACTGCTGGCCAATAGGAAAGTAAGATAGGTGGGACTAGGAGTCGAGGAGGATTCTCGGAAATGTAGTAAAAAGAAGTCTGTGATACAGGCAGGAAGTGAAATAGCAGGCCGACTCAGAATATAAGCAGGGACAAGGAGGAAGTCTTTCTCTTCCTCTTCCTCCTGCTCTCTTCCCTACAGAGCTGCCATGTGATCCCGGGAAGAGGATGCCAGCAGAAGTCATCCTTGATGAGATAAGTCTTATGAAATATATGGATTTATGATAATTAAGAATGAGCTACCATATAAGAAATCCTAGTAAATTGGCCAGCAGCATTGTAAACTAATGTATGTCTCTGTGTGTTATTTTGGTCACCCACGTGACAGGCGGAACTTGGGAAGCCTGGTGTAAAGACATTGTTACACACCTTTATGACCTATGCAAGGTACAAAACAAGCCAAAAGGAACACCAATAAACCTAAAGATGCCATCCACAACTCTTGCTGGGTGAACATTCTTGTGATTTGTGGTTCTATTTGTGATGATTCTCACTGGTGCAGTTTATTCTGTTGTTAGTGATTCAGTGTTGCAGGCTGCTGCCCTGCTGTTCAACAATCCACTCCAGTGGCAAGTTCTCTCATTACTGTAAGCTAAACATGGAACATGCTATAGAATAAATATGAAAAGAATGCTATGATAAAGTTAAAACTCTTATTGAAACTGACAGTCTCACACGGGGGTGGGCCTAGGACCTATCCCAAAGGATATGATAGACTCTGATGACCCCCTATGGAAGGCCTCACCTCCCTGGGGAGCAGAAAGGATATGTGATAGATATGGTTTTAGTTGAGGGGTGGTGGTAGGGGAGGAGGGGAGGGAGTGGGAACTGGGTTTGACATGTAAAACAATTGTGTTTCTACTTCAAATAAAAAAAGAAAAGAAAAGAAAAAAATGAAAATATTTTTTAAAAAAGAAAGAAAACTGACAGTCTCAGTGAGATGACTTAGTGGGTCAAAAGGGCTCACTGTCCAGCCTTGAAGCCTGAGTTCAATCCCTAGAAGCCACATGCTTTCTTCTAACCTTCACAGCTGCATTGTGACACATGCATCAGGGCACATGCTCACACAGTCTAAATAAATACATAGATAGCAAGGTTTATACTGTGGCATAGAGAACAGTGTAGAATATTCAGAAAGGAGGTGATGAATTGCAAACTGTGACCCCAGTCCTTACTTTTTCTACATCTCCCAGGCCCTCAGTGTCAAGAAGAACTAGGGTGTGGCCTGGCTTCTGGGGATGAGGAACACACCACATCCAGATCCCCTTGGTGTGAGACTGCACTGTGGAACCTAGAGAGAAGCCTGAAAAGCAGAGAGGAGAGATGGGATTAGATGATTAGGAACAAGGGCTTCCTGAAAGTAATCATAGAATTAGCACAATCCAGCTTGAATCATAGCTCAGAGGTTAAGTGTGCCTGCTGCTCTTTCAGAGGACCAGAGTTCAGTTCTCAGACCCTACATAGCAGCTCACACCTGTCTATGACTCTAGTTTCAGGGAACCTTATGCCCCTTTCTAGCATCCGTGAATGCCAGACATGTATAGGTACACAGGCAAAAATACTCATGATGTACAATTAAAATAAATCTCTATTGAAAAATCAGCATAGTCATGTCAGGAGAATTAACAGAAACCAAAGCTAGTACTGATCTCACAATCAGAGACATAACAGAAATTCAATTTTCACATATGCAGAATGCAAGTCACAAGACCCCCAAACTTGCCCCAGGATTCCATAGAAAATGTGTAGCAGGGTCACTCTCTCATGTGCAGCACCTGAGCTTGCTGTGTGAGGCTATGAGAGTAAAGCTGAAGTAACAGTGGAGACCCAGGAAGTTAGAGATGCCAAGACTGTGGGATGTTCACTGGGGAAAGTTGGAGGCAATGTGTGAACCTGGCTGCTATAAACAGCAGGGTCCAATAGACAGGATCTACAAGATGATGTGTAGAAAAGGCCACCACCTACCCTACATGCTGCACAAGGAGCTAGGATTTGGTGTTTACCCTTCTGGATTGAGTCTTGCTTGAGTGTGTTCTGTCCTTCCTGTCTCCTGAACACTGTAAACAGGGTCCTTACTCTGTGCCATTGTACATTACAGGTTAACTTGAGTGTCAGATGAGATGGTGGACTTTATGCACCATTAGAACTCTAAGACTGTGGGGAGTTTTAAGATGCAGCCACAGCAATTTGGCACCAGGAGTAGAATGTTATGATATGAAGGTAAGTGTTCATCACAGGTCCGTGTATATGAACACTTGGTCATCAGTTAGTTGCACTGTGTTAGGAGATGTGGAAGTGTTAGGAGGTAGGACCTGAATGGCAAAGGTCAAGCCTTTGGAGGTTATTTCTGGCCTTGTTCATGGCTGTCTTCTCTCTGCTTTCTGGTCAGACATGACATGAGCAAGTCATAAGCTTCTACCACTACATATGCAGCCACATAATCCTGTCTCTCTGCCATAGTGGACTGATATCCCCTGAACTGTGAGCAAAGCAAATCCTTCTTCCTTACATTGCTTTATCAAGCATTTCATCAGTGATAAGACTGATACAACCTAGAGAATCTGAAATCCTGGACTTAGATGGGAGTCTCTGTGACTTTTAGAAGGGAAACTAGGAGTTAGATGTGGTGATGCAGTCCTGTAATCAGCACTCAGGAGGCCAAGGCAAGAAGATCATGAGTTCAGGGTCAGCCTGGACTACATGCTGAGCTAAAGGCCTGCTTGTGCTTCACAGCATGGCCTTGTCTCAAAAGTAAAAGGAAACAAGCAAAGTAACTATAACAAAAAGAATCCCAACATCCAACCACAACAAGAAGATTAAATTCTTCACACTCTCATGCAGGAAGTAGTGCACTCTTGGGAGCCAGCACAGCTGTGTTGGTGGCACTCACCTGTTTGCTTCCCAGCCAGCTTGTTCATCAGGTAGGATTTGCCTGTGCGGTAGAGACCCACGATGGCCACCACTACCACAGGCTGTGTGATGTCCTCCAGGATCCCCAGAGCCTCCTGGTTGGCTATCAGTTGACCTTTCACGTTCTCGATGAGGCACATGGGGCCTGACATGTGGACCTCTGTGGCCATTGTGCAGCCTTGTTCCCTGTGTTTAGAGGGACAGATGTGATTAGCTAGATTTTTATTCTTTCTCTCAGAAGGTAGAGTTATGAAACTTGCAAAAAAAAAAGAAAAAGAAACACAGCACTGTTGTGCATCAGAGACATAGTTGAAAGAAGCCAGTATAATTTTAGAGTCCTATAACATAGTATTGAAGAATTTCATGTGTAATGTGACAGTGACAGCATTCCCCTGCTCACAACACAAATACTCTGTTTACTTTTGCACTGAAAATTTTCCATATTAACTGTTTTGTACTAGACATCAAATGGAAAATAAAATCAGATTTAGAGAAATCATCTTATATTGCCACTCACATAATTAATCAAATATTCATTTATTCACTAGTTTACCATTGCAAAATATAGACACCCATGGAGTTAATGCTTCATTGTTTGATGGATGCAACCCTACAATTATTTCTAGATATTATAAAATATATTCATTCTATGCATCTGAATAGTTACACCCATGTTGCACCCAGATTTTCTAGAGATTATAAAATGTATCCACTCTGTCTATCATAGTAGTTATTCTCATGTGGCAAATAGTCTCTGTCTACAGGATGAATCACATTGCCATTTCAGCAAAAGAACCAACATAATATGTTTTTTGCAAAACATCTAGAAGTATGTGACAGTTCTCTCCCAGACAAACGGCTACACAAGAGCAGTGCCTTGAAAATTAAGCTTCATTAACTGTGAATCAGCAATGAATAAAAGTTGGGTTGGGATCACAGCACATGAGACTAAACCCAACTCTGCACATACTGGATATTGCACAAAGCAACAGTGTTGTAATAGCAATAAATTGGGGAGCTGGTGGTTCAAATAATTACTTGATGCCATTCTCCTTGGATTATCTACAGTTTTCATCTGGTAGAAAAATGAAAAATGCAAAGAGGAGGAAGAGAAACACCATGAGTCATAGGCTAGGATCTGACCAGGCAGAACAAAGCTGTCAAAGAAAATGTGAGGACTGAGAATGGTTTCTGGACTGGGGTTCTGGTCTCCAGAAAACAGGAAAATATGCCTTGAGGGCCTGGACTTGGGGACAAGGTAATCAGACTTTGTCCTCAGTCTTGTATGTCAGCGGATCTTCTAAGAAATCCCTTAACTACAGTATAGGGTTTGATCCTTCAGGGAAGAGTTAAAGAGTTCACGGAAATGAGAAATGAGCCAGTCCTATGGGTTAATGAGCTAATCAAGGTAATTCACTTAGCATCCAAGATCAGATGTGAGATGGTGACTCCCATACACCATCTTTCACTATGGGTTTCAGACATGAACTGAGGGTCCCAGAAAACATCCTTAACTATGACGATGAACCTACAAGGTTGACTGACTAATTAGAATTTGTGTGATTGTGGAGATCTGGAATGTTGTATGTCTAGTGTCAGAATTTCCTGGGTTATCTTTAGTTGCCTCCATGGCCATTCCTTGTATCAGAAGGCCTGTAGCAATCTCCCCCATATGGCCATAATCTGCCCGTCCCATGTTGCCACCAATGTATTTTAAAAGTACCTTGATCTATGACTTTCTTTATTCTGTTGCTACAGAAACTTCAAGAAACTTGCCAAGGTGGAACATGCTGTGTGTGGTAAGCTGAGCTTGTGTTCTGGGGCCACCAGTCACTCATATTCAGCTATAGAATAGACCACATCTGTTACTCACTTGTGTTCCTAGGGCAACACAGCATTTCCTCTCTTTGTCCTTTACCAAAGCGGTGGCTCTTCCCCTGCCTCATTCTGTTTCCCTCTTGAAAATCAGGCACAGGCAGACCTTTCTGTAGCAGCTCTGCTCCATCACTGACCATAGTCATTTACCTGTGTGCTTGTCAGCACAGACAAGGTGACAACTGAGGAAGGCGAACCCAGTGCATATCCTGCCCTGTTTCAGTCACAGGTCTCCTTGTCCCTAACTCAAAATTAGTATAGTGGTGTCCCTTAGAGACTGGCTGCCCTGATAATACCACCCAGGGTTCATCGGCTGCTTTGCCCCACTCCTGCTCAGGAGCAGATTTTTCTAGTCATGGCAGTTCTAAAAAGTGAATTAACCCTCAAAAATCCCATCTTTTTCCTGCCCAGGCTTGTGGCCACATGTTCCAGAGCAGAATTTTTCACACCCAGCAAGGATAAGTGTCTCTTCTTACCTGCTCTTGCTGGTCAGTGTGGATAAAAAGTGTTCTGTCTCTTTTGTTTTGTATCCTCCTACAATCTTGTGCAGCTTTCTGAATTTCTCCAAGTGAACAAAGGATGAAAAGCACTGCAACTTTTATAGTAGGGGGAAGTACAGGGAAACTGAAACCGTTTGGTCACAGAAGTAAATCAACAGTGGTATAAAAGTTCAGGGAGCTGTGTTAGGGGGAGGGATTTCCAGGACTTTCAGTATTCGCTTGAAAGAGATCTTGAACCCATTTGTTATTTAAAAGCATGCCACAAGAGGGAGCCCAAGCCTGCTGGCACTGTCTGCATGACCAGGAACCAGTGCAGAGGATGGGTATGGTATCCCAGTGATCTAGGATGGAAACAAACACCACTGGAAAAAAAAAAAAAAAAAGCCAGCAAAAAAACCAAAAAGCCACAGAGCATTTCCTTATGATAGGGAATAATTTTCAGTTTGTGGGCTGCTTGGAACAGTTATATGAAGAAGAATATATATATTCATAGAGGAGTCCCTGGTTCAATGCTGATGTATTTACTGTGACCATATATGTTAATGTCATAACAGACATTGCCCCCTGAGTTCACAGAAATAAAGGAGGAGGAAGACTTTACCAGCATCAAGTTATAACATCCAAGACATCTTGATGAAAGCACTCCCAACTCCCAAGCTGTGTCTTAAACCACCTTACCATGCTGCCTGTCTGTGTACTGAGTGAAGAGCCATGAAAACCTCATGGACAGACTGAATTCTGATAGTCTTCGGTTCATGCTGAAGTCAACCCTTTCTGACTAAAACCAATAAGAGAGGGTGCTGTCTCTGCTGTGGTGGAATTGTAACTCCCAAGTGAGCCTCAGTGTGGTGATACTGATTTTGTTTATGTTCTAACTAATAAAGCTTGCCCAAAGTCAGAGGACAGAGGTAGCCACTAGCTAAACCTATAGGTCTGGAGTCTGTGGGAAACAGAGAGAGATAAGGTGGGTGGAGACAGGATCCTGACTGAATTTGACTGGAGAAATGAAAGAGAAAGGAAGTGACTGTAACTGCTCTACTGCTTCTCTCATCTTTCAGGTTTTACCCCATTATCTGATTCCTGGTTTTTACTGATAGGATTAATTAGATTTACACTTTATTTGGCATCCATTTTGGAGCTTGAATCCACCAGATAGCCACTTGCCTATAACTTTGTAGTCAACAGCAGATACTACAGCTGCAGAGTCACCACACCACTGTCTAGGTTTTCTTCAAAAAGTACTAGGAGCAAGTCTTGTTTTCCTCTTGCAGCCTTTCTACAGGAAATTCCAGAATCCCCAAATGTCACCATCTCTTGGGCTCCAAACACCACATAACTGAAATTAGCCCCTCACTTTCTGCCAGTTCTGTGCCTTCAGTAACCTCTGGTCACATGTGCTGCTTACACACATTCCTCCATGGAGGTGGCTGGCTCTTTACTTCCTTCACACACGTGTGTTGTGGGCTTTGCCTGGACCTCCACCTCAGGCTGCTGACAGGTAATCAGCAGCAGTTGTCCTCAGCCAGGCTATGCGCAGCCTGTGTTATCTGCTTAGACAATCGTCTATGAAGCAGCTGTTAGCCTCACACTTCACTGTCATTGTCAGCAGATTTGTTGAGACAATTGGGAATACTTAAAGAAAGGAATCAGATTTTTAAAGAGAGAAAGAGTTTTTTTCTCATGTTAAAAAATGGGAAACAGCTGGGTGGCGGTGGCACATGCCTTTAATCCCAGCACTCAGGAGGCAGAGGCAGGCAGATCTCTGTGAGTTCAAGACCAGCCTGGTCTACAAGAGCTAGTTCCAGGACAGCCTCCAAAGCCACAGAGAAACCCTGTCTGGAAAAAAACAAAAAAGGGGGGGTAAACAATGTTACAATGGTGGGACTTAGGTCTCTGAATAATTACACACTGGATGGTTTGAAAATAGAACAATTAAATTAGGGGATAATTAACTTAGCTGGGATTTACATAATGGCAATAATAATCACTATCAGTTTGGTAATTCTAGTTTTTTTCTCTAAAACAACTGTTTGATATCACTGCCATATGTGAAAAATTGACTGATAAGACACAATCCTTAGAAAAACTTGCTATTCCTAAGCTGCAGGCCTTAGAAAAGGTTACTACTGATAATATAAAATCCCTACAACTAATTACAAATGTAAATAATGCAATTTGACTGCTAGGTTACAAGCCTTAGAAAAAGATATATTAAGACAGGTAATAGAGATATTGAGACACAGACCAAGGAATTTAAAGGAGAACCAACCTCAAGATTACATTATAAAATTATAGAGGAAAAGTTCAAGTTTGTCAAACAACCACTTAATTTTTCCAGTCACCTTAAGAGAACAGCTGCCAACTGATAGATATCACCAAGGCTGTGTAAGCGCTGACTGGGTTCCTGTGGAAATGTTAGATTTGAGAAGATTAAAGAAAGACATAGAATCATGTTGTGTGTATTCCCCTTTTGTGAAGCAGATGTTAAATTTGAAGTCCACTAGTAAGAGAATCGTCCAACAAAACTAGAAAGTCTTGGTTACAGCAGTATAGGAGCCTGGTCCACAGTTGTATGGAAGACCTGGTGGAATGATGAGGGTAGGACCATTGAAAAACAAAGGGCTAGAGGTATTGAAATCTCCCAAGACCAACTTCTTCAAGAGAGTGATTGTGATGACGTACAAAAACAGTCTCTATATAATGACCACACCCTGGCTCTCTGCTGTGCAGCAGCTTTGAATGCTTGGAACAGAATTGAAGAAGTCAGAAAAAGAACTGAATCATATGCTAAAGTTGTACAGGACCCAAAAGAAATCTTCACTGATTGTTTGCAAAGGTTATTTCAGCTGTAAATAGAATGATACCAAATCCAGAAGCTAGACAAATAATAGTTGAATATTTGGTTTTTTTAAATGCTAATTTTCAATGCAAAAGGGAAATTAGACCTTTAAAGGCAATATTAGCACCCATAGAGAAATGGATCCAAGATTCAGTCAATATTGAATCTCATAACCATGATGATGCTTGGATAAGAGAGGTGATTGCCAGAGGCTTAAAGAAAATTGGGAGCATGGGGGAGGGGAGAGGGAACTAGGAGAATGAGAAGGGGAGGAGGAGTGAGGAAGACAGGATGGGGCAGGGAGGTTGAGTTGGGGGAAGAACAGAAAAGAACAAGATAAGAGATATATAATAGAGGGAGATATTATAGGTTTAAAGAGAAATCATGCACTAGGGAAATGTCTGGAGAACTAAAAAGATGACACCAACTAACAATCTAAGCAATAGGGGAGATTCTACCTTAAATGCCCTCTCCTGATAATGAGATTGATGACTAATTCATATGCCATCCTATAGCCTTCATCCAGCAGCTGGTGGAAGTAGAAACAGACACTCACAACTAAACTTTGAACTAAACTGAAATCCAGTTGCAGAAAAGGAGGACTGATGAACATAGGGGTCCATACCAGGCTGGTGAAACCCACAGCAACAGCTGACCTTAACAAGGGAGAACTCTAGGTCCCCAGACTGATAACTGGGAAACCAGCATGGGACTGATCCAGACCCCCTGAATGTGGGTGTCAGTGAGGAGACCTTAGAAATCTATGGGCCCCTTGTAGTGTATCAGTACTTATCTCTAGCATAGGAATGGACTTTGGGAGCCCATCCTACATGGAGGTATATTCCCTGAGCCTAGACACAAGGCAATTGACCTAAACCCTATCCCAAAGGATATGACAGACTTTGAAGACCCCCCTACAGAAGGCCTCACCCTCCCTTGGGAGCAGAAAGGATATGGGACAGGTAGGGTATTAGATGGGAGGGCAGGAGAGGAGAGGAAGGAGACGTGATGGGGAATGTACTTCTTTGTATGTTTATCTTGTTGGTTATTGAATAAAGTACTTGTTTGGCCAATGAGACAGCAAGTTAGACAGGACTAAGAGTCAAAGAGGATTCTGGGAAATGTAGTACAGAAGTGCTGATCCAGGCAGGAAGTGACATAGCAAGGAGACTCATATTTAAAGGAGAAACAGGAAGCATCCCTCATTTCCCCTCTGCTCCTGCTCCAGCGGCATAATATGATCCACCGGCAAGGAGGGACACCAATAAGGCGTCCGATAAGATAAGTCTTATAAAAGATATGGTTTTATGATATTTAAGACTGAGTTATCATATGAGATTCCTAGTCATTGGCCAAGCAGCATTGTACCTGATACAAGTTTCTGTGTATTCATTTGGGCCCTAACTCAGGCGGGCGGCTGGCGTAAAGCTCACATGTGGTGGTGGGCTCAGGCAGCTTTTGGCAGAAAGATTTGTCGTGAGGAAGAAGGACCTGGGATTGACATGTAAAATGCTCTTCTTTCTAATTAAAATAAAATAAATAAATAAAAAGAAAATTCAAAATGTCATGTGTTTTAATTATAGCAAATAAGGTCACCTAAAAAAGACATTGTAGACAGGGCATTGCTAGAAAAAATGTTTTTTTCTAAACTAAACAGAAGGTCCTTGCCTTCTGGAGTATGCAGAAGGTGTGGCAAACATATACATTGGACCAATGCATGCAGATCAAGAAAGGACAGATACATAGCACTTTGCCATTGTAAAACACCATGGGGGCCCTCTCACAGTACCCCCACTACTATGAAGGAAACATCTCCCTCAGTGCAATTAAAGGACCTAATACCTATTATTAAAAAAAAAAAAAAAACATGTTTCTATGGATGATAGAACAGCTTTAGAATAAAAAACAGATAATTTCAGGAGAAACAATAAAGCAAATATTTTGCCAAACTTCTATAAAGGATCAAAGACCAAAGTTAAAAATACAAATAAATGGTATTATCCTATACAGCTCATTTAACAACATAAATTTCTAGTCCTTGAAAGTTTTTGTTACAAACTATTTAGGATAATAAACAAATGAAAATTAGTATTTTACCCATTGCAATCAAACTTGTAGTCCAGCTAGGTATGTTTTCAAGGCCAAAGAGATATATATTTTTAGTTAGATGGGTAGTCTCCAAACAATTCAGAGAACTACTGAATAACACATTAAGTTGACTTAATAACATAAGGTTCTTTTCTTTCATGACAATGAGGCATGTCTGCACCTGGCAGCACCTATCTACTTCAGAGAAGATGAGGGGCAT